AAATACATGTGTGTAAATACATCTAAATGCCACTTCAGATGCAGCTTCTGTGTTGATTTCATTTGCTTGGTAACAGCCCAAATGTCTTATTATTATTCTAATTCCCTGATTAAATGTAAGAATTTGACTCAAAAGATAATGAAAAATGGCTTTATAAAGGTAAAAATGCCCATAAAATTTAAAAATCAGTTTAAACTTATTGGAAAAGATTAATTTCTATCAGTATGAACTGACCACCACACAGAATATGAAGAATATTAAAAACATTAGGAGTCAGCTGTCTTCGGCAGTCCTTAAGGGTACCAGCACAATAACACACTCAGCAAAATATCGTCTAATTATCGTTATCGATAAAATCCCAGAAAATATCGAGATATTATTTTTTGTCAATATCGCACACCCCTATACGAGAATATTTTTTTGCGCAAAGAAAACAAAAATAACGACTTTATTCCACATTTTCGTCTCTACTGCTTTACTTGTGGATGCGCGTTCACGACAGTACTATATACGCGAGCGTGTGGCGGCGCCGGCGCTGACCCAGATCCGGCGTGATGACGTCATTACGGCGAATCTGGATCAGCGCCGCCACACGCTCACGTCATGATACTGTCGCGAACGCGCGTGCGCAAAAAAGTATTCTCGTAGCTTCGTAACTTTACAGTTGAACCACTGATGTCACACGGACTACTTTGTCGATCATCTTGGTACTTTTCTGGACCTTGAATGTGGTAGTTACCTTGCTGTCTATGGGACGGTCAGAGAGCCCTCAGATTTCATCAAAAATATCTTAAATTGTGTTCTGAAGATGAACGAAGGTCTTACGGGTTTGGAGCAACACGAGGGTGAGTAATTAATGACAGAATTTTTCATTTTTGGGTGAACTAACCCTTTAAGTACTTTTGTCTGTCTATTGAAAGCTGTTATCTGAACACAGCTCATTCAGTCACAGTTTAGTGTCAGTTTATTCTATTGATATAATAAAATTAATTGGAGTGAAAATTGACATCAATAAGGAGTCATTTTTGTGATGATTTTCAGCCATTTTGTACACAGCAACATGCTCAATTCAAATGCAGTTGACTTGTTTGTTGCTGCTGTTTTTATGTGCTGCTTCAAAAATGCAAAATAGTTCCTGCTTCTTGTTTATCTGAGTGACAGAAATGCGATTAAATTGTGTACTTGCCTATAGTGCAATTAAAACCACCACATATTGTACTGCGATAATGGTTATACTGTAATTATGATCAGAATTGCATCATTCACAATATTCTGAAGACATGAGCACCAATGTAATCACAGCAATATAATCACAATCTTAATGACACATAGCCAATGCTTTAAGCTAAGGATGCACTGGATTTGATCAAACCCTATGTATGTGCTATAGTTGAGTTTAGTGAGCACCACTAATTATGGTTTAGAGGCTGAATTTGCATTCGATTCCATGTGACAAGTTTTGGGGACAGACAAGGAAGTTTCTCTGCTCCGATCTTCATGTAAATGATTTGCAAAGCCCTGTAGGTTTGGATGTTTACTTTCGTATGCAAGGCAAAAAATGTTTGAAACAAAAATAGAAAATTTGCAATGACGTAGAATGATTTGAATATTTTTCTTTGTTTGGTTTTCATATTTTCATGTGAACTACTGGTTGAATCTATTGGGCTACAGATTAAGATTCACTTGGGTCTTATTGCATGTTCATGCAGTTGTTTACATCAGGAAAAGGAGAGAAAATATCTGTGCATGTGTGGGATTTCTCTGGTTTATGTACATTCACAGAATGGTTTAATAAAACATTCAGCATCTGAATGTGGGCTTTAGAGGTATTTAATGAAATTAAGTTCATAAAGATACTATGTGTTTAGATTTTCTTAAGAAAGTGAGTGGTACAAAGGTCAGCATCATTATTTGTTTAATATATAATAACACTTATCATATAAAATAAATAAATAAATATAAAAGTTAAAAACCTTTCCAAATATTTTCAATTTATTCATAATAGAGTACTTTTGTTTATTAGTCCATTATTATTAGTATTATTATTATTAAATACAACCTCTTCAGTTGTTTACATGCAAATTGCCATTATTATTCACTAAGAAATATGGTTGTTTTACAGTCATTTTGTTGCTATTTTGTTGTACCCAGCAACACAAAAGGTTCAATAAAAATACAAATAAAAAAGTCTCAAAAAAGGCTGAAATACAGTAAAATTAGTAATATTGTGAAATATTATTTAAAAAAATATGAAATTTAAAAAAAAGTTTTCTTTTTTAATATTTTTAAAATATAATTAAAATTAAACAAAATATAATAAAGTGTAATTGGGATGTAAATGTGATGGGAAAAAATGAATTTTCAGCAGCCATATACTCCAGTTTTCAGTCACATGATCCTTCAGAAATCATTATTTATTTGAAATAGAAATTATTTGTAACATTAGAAATGTTTTGTCTTTTTGTGTTTTACGTATATTTTAAGCATGTTGTATGAGGTTACTAGGTGGTTGCCAGGGTGTTGGCATACTCTAGATCAGGGATGGGCAACTTTGATAGTGACGAGGGCCAGCATTTTTTCTCCTTTATACCAAGGGGCCAGA